GTAATATCCACAAAGCTGACTGCTGGAAAGCTCTACTTTTTGGAGTAGTTGAATCGGGAGCAAGAGTTGGTGTGAGTAGAAGTGGGATAAATTTAGACACGCCTTTGAGGTACCCATAACATAGGAGCAAGTTGGGGTGCGGGATAAACCTTCTTTTGGAAGAATGCCTTCTGTAGATGAGGAATTGGACAAAAGTGTTAAACCACTTTGTTCGTGCCCTACGGTCTAATAAATGTGTAAAAAAGTGGGCTAAAAAAGTTGATCTTCCCCTAAGAGCGGAAATCCCGGGCACAGGAAATTAAGTCGTCCAGGTTTGAAGCAGGAAGCATGCATTCAGGTTGAGAGGGAAAGTGGTTCATTTAGCTTTACGATTGGCTTGGTAACTCAAATGTAATATCTATAAATTTTAGCCCAATTAATACTCAAATGTCTTAGTTCCAACTTATACCAAACTTAATAACTACTGAAGCCTGATTTCTTTTTATTTTCGGTGAACCATATCCGTTCTTGTTGCGCTTCCCTCTTTCTCTCTTTTCCACCTATTTCTCTTCCTATTTATATGTTCACATTGTTCTCTCTTAATATACCCATAGTACATATTTTTCTCTTCTTCCTATGTTTCTATAAATCCTATTTATCTCTTCTTCACATAATTATTATTTTATATTTTCAAAATGGAAACCGAACCAAACTGGACCGTGTGTAAGTTCAATTTTTAGTTCCAATTTGAGAATAAAATGGACCGAACCCACCCTTAACCAACATTATACTTGTCCCTGTAAATTAAATATTGTACTTAGAGCATCCACAATGTGCTCTATAAACTATCTCCTCAGACAAATTTTATGGAGGAATTGGAAAAGTACAACTTCAACCATGCTCCATATCCACCTCCTAAAATAGGGAGATCTCTACAAGCTCCTAAATATGAGGAGAGAGAAATGACTTCTAGTAGCTCCCTATAATTTATTGTTGCTTTATTTATGTTGAGGCCCAAAGACATTTAAGGCCCCATATAACATATAATGTTGGTCATGCGTTAATCCAAGTTGTATTTTAAAAATTCATTCATTAAATAAATATAGAAATAGTGTGCATGCCATAACAAGCCAATAATACATTTTTCATATGTCAATCACCTACCAAACTCACCTGAACCCAAGTCATATAGTTTACGGGGCTTGCATGAGAGATTGTGGTGTGGAAGGTTATGGAGGTCCATAAGGCCCATAGAAGCTCTTAGATAATGGAGACTTTGGGCAAGCTACTTGGTAGCACCAAAGTCCAAGCTCATTACTTTGAGTTCTCCAATGTGGGTAAGCAAATGAGATATTTTTCAAGCACTCCCTATTATGCACTGGAAACAAACAAATTCCGACACTTCCCCTTACCCATAAGAAATAGTCATTTTCCAATGACTAGCTTCACCTGTTGGAAATAAGAATGTCTCAATGCTCCCTTTTACATGTTGGAAATAGACTAGCTCCAACATTTTCTTTACCTATTGGAAACCAAAGAGAGCATTCTCCTTTTATAAATTGGGAGGCATTGCCCAGGCAAAACCAACTCCTCTTGGTTGCGGCAAGCCTCTTAGCAACCATGAGAACTCATCATTTCTTCAGCTACTGCAAGTATTCTAGCATCCATCACAGTTATTCCTGAGCCATCAACAACATCTCTTGGTCTCTCAAGCACTCCAGCAACCATCAGACCACCTTCCGTCCGCCCTTCGGCTGCTGCAAGCATTCCAGCAGCCATTCCTCAGCTATCACAACCATTTCTTCTACTTTCTTAGCCTTGAAATCTTTCATCTTCCCTATAAAGCCTCACCAAGCATAACTCCAAGCTTTTCCTTCCTCATACATTTCCAAGCTATAAACACCATAGCCTTCAAGCGTCAAGCTTTTCCTTCCATCATCATTCTTGAAACTCTTAAATCACCATAGCCATAACCACAAACAACAAGTTCTCAACACCCAAATACAAGCACATCCAACACTAAGCCAAGCACATGCATTCTAATTTGCTAAACTTGTGGGTCTTTGGCTCTCACACTGCAAGCTCTCATGCCAAGCTCACACAATCTCGGTTCAACATCAGCAAGTCATTTTCAATCATCCAGAGCACGACCAAGCAATTGTCAAGCTGTTGGAAAATCTACTCAAGCTACTCATCCATTCAACCACATATATATATATATATATCTCTCCCTCTCTCTCAAAATGCTCCATCCTAAACCTGAAACAACTATGCTCTTAATTTAAGTTGAAACCATAGTCATCACCTTCTTGGTAGGAAAATACAAACATCGCAAGCTCATCGTCTGGCTGCTGAAAACACCTAAAATCTCAAGCCTTAATCCTTTCTTTATGCTCATTTTCTCTTATCTCTTGCGCCACAAGTCTCTCAAGCCAAGTCTAAGTAGTTTCTTGATTCACTAAAGCAAACTCTCATGCCAAGCCCGTGCAACATCAATGCACCATCTCAAACTCTTCGTCTAGCTATCGAAAACATCAGTACAAAACATGCAGTCTCTAGAAGAAGAACAAAGTACTCCCTTGGGACTTGCTTCTCCCTGGGAATATTTGGGCCTGGTTCTCGCTAACTCAAAAAAAAAGGTAACGAAGGCTTGATTCACCATTCTATGGCGTTCCAAGAATCAACAAGCCCGGACGAGCATTCTGAGGGAAAAAGACCCCAACAATTTAATGAGTATTTCAAACCTTTAATTAATGCTAACTATTTTTTTATATTATTTTCTAGTAGAGATGGAACAATTAAAAAAAAGTTTTAACATTTATGACTCTGTAAACTAAAGAGCATGATTGGAATTCAAATTTTATAAAGAGCTCCTAAAAGAATATTTATATATTTTTAACATAATTTTAACTAAAAAAATAAAAAGCATGATTGTGAATACTCTTATACATATTTATATGTAAAATAAATAGGTATTACAATAAATGGTAGAATCAAATCTACTTTATTTGTACAAATAAATTACTTATATCTGACGAGTAAACCCGACCCAAAAAAAAAATATAATCAGTAAAAAGAAAAAAAAAAGAAAAAGAAAAAGGACTTTGAAGTCTATTAAAACTGCCAGCTGGGTTCGAGTCACAGTCAGTCTCTGTCGTTGACGTGGCTTTGGTCTTATCCTGTGAACCTATGAAGCTCGACAGGAACGTACTTAGGTCTTATCCTAATTTAATTTGAATTTTCCTATAGAATATGGATGAGCCCATAAAATAAAAAAATTATATCATACGTGGTGGTCATTGGCATTGGCATTGGTCATGCTATGGTGGATGGACCACAGACTTCCAAAATCTGATGTGGATGGTCCAAATCCAACTTGAATATTAACCAAGGTGGGTGGGTCCCATACATACTGCCGTTGTTTCCGCACGTCGGTAACGCTTAAATCCACATGCCGCCGAAGTGGGTCGCCCGTCGTTTACATTGCTTTACAGTGGTTGCGCCGTGGTTGGGTGGGTGGGCTATGCCATGTGGGCCTCCTCCTCACTGCCTCTTGCCTGCCTTCCAATCCATCCATCTCAACAAACCGCGTTCTTCCAAAACTTTTGTTTATTTTATTTCCTTAATTGACCTTTTTGCGCTTGTTCGTTGGTTAGTTTCAAACTTAAATACTTTTTATATGATTAAATGTAACTTAGAAAGATGGACAAGTGTTTGATACGATATATTTGTTTGCCATTTTATCATTTTGGTTTATAATTGGTCAATACATGAGTCCATGTAGTTCGTTCCAGCGTACGTGTTGTAGGCGTTTGCCATCCTGCTCATACATACAAAATCTAGTCAAATGCCAAGCCAAACATTCAAACCAACAAAACAGAAGCGACATGTGCTGTCTTAGATTCCTGGACAATGCACACCGACGTTTCGCTGAGTCAGCCCAGTACAGATACCACTGGATAAGCCTATACTACAGTTCCTTAACCCACCCCATATTTAACCATGGTTTGTTTACCTTATCCGCCTTTTGTCCGCCCATCGTTTATAAAATCACAAATCCCCCCACCGCTCCATTCATAATTTCGTCGGCAACACAAACACAAACTCAAACTCAAACTCTTCCTTTCCTCCAATCAAATTTCAAAGATTTTGAAAATGACTTCCATCTCATCCTCATCCTTCACTTGCTCCTCCCCTCTTTTCTCCGCCGCAGGATTTGTCAACGACGGCCCTCATTCTCCTCCCTCCTCCATCACATACCGTCCGCTTCGCGTCTCCGCCTCCTGCACATCCACCGTCGACAGGCCACGCACCCGTACTGGATCAAGCTCCTCACTCTACGAGGTACTCGGGATTCACACGGGTGCCACGTGTCAGGAGATCAAGTCTGCTTACCGTAAGTTAGCGAGAGTCGTACACCCGGACGTTGCCACTGACGGTCAAACATCGGCGGACGAGTTCATGAAAATCCACGAAGCTTACTCCACTCTCTCTGATGCCCAAAAGCGTGCGGATTACGACCGCATGATGTTGATCAGACGGCCACGCTCTTCTTATTCGTACGCAACAACAATGTCAGCGTCGGCAGCTGGCCGGAGATGGGAAACCGACCAGTGCTGGTAGATTGCAGACATTTACATATGGAGAAATCATTAATTAGAACAAGCTAATTAATTTAATTAGGGGAAATTAATCAACCGGAAAGGCTGCAGCGGTGCCTGTCTGTTTGTTGTGATGTGACAAACTGCTAGCTAGCCTCGTGCGTTTGTGTGTACATAAAATATCTAGCTAAGATCCTTGTACTGTAAGCTGAAGGCGCCATTTTTTACAGCCTGAAAATTCTGGGTATTTGTATTCCCCCAATTTCAAATCAGCTTGTGGCTTGTAAGTTGTAAGAACTACTTTTGGGATGAATCATTTTTATGAAGATAAGTTTTTTCATTATTTTCAATCTATATTCTTGAATAAATATTGAACAACGGAGAGAGGATGCATGGATAAATAAATAAATAAATAACTACACCCTAGCAAATTGCAATGGAAAATAAAGAACTTTTAATTCAATTTTGGTTATGAGTTAAAATTCGATCATGGAAATTGGTTCTATGGGCTGTATGATGAGAGCCCAACTGAAACATCCGCTGTTTGAACTCTTTAATAATGGGCCGGGCCGCAGCTCTTTACTCATATGATTCAATTTAAAAGAAAAGGAAAATATAAGTTATATTATACAGTGGTGTGTAGCAACAAGCTGCACGAGGAAAAAAAGGGGAGCGATGGCTCAAGTGGGACGGCTTCTTGTAAGGCAATGGCCGATGCTGCAGCAGCATTCCTCTACCTTCCATCATCTTCTCTACTCGCCTTTACTTCCAGTAACCACCAAAACTGGTTCCCATCGTTTCTCTTTGACGAAAGTGCACTTGGCTACTCGCGGCGTCCATAAATTGTTACGCGGACTCAGACCCTCCGACTACCAAGATGCTAACATCGGCAGTTCCGGTTCGGGTTCGGATTCGGATTCGGTTACATATAAGAGCCGCAACGAGTTGAAGCGCCACGCCCGCCGTGCGGTCCGCTGGGCTATGGACCTCTCCTCCTTCTCCACCCCTCAAATCAAACGCATTCTCAGGTAACTCAAAATTGAAAAATTTATTCATTTATTTTTAAAATTAGCTATAAGCTATTTTAGTCTAACGTATAATTACGGTGTTGGGGATGGTAGAGTGGCTTCTCTGGACCAAGACGTTTTGGATGCTCTGATTCTAGTGAAGGTGCCGCCCCTGTAATTGAACTTTTTGGTTAGTTTATTCTTGGCTGTTTCAGACAAGTATTAGCTAGTGATTTGTTTGTTGAAGCTAAGCTGTTTGTGTTATTGTCGCAGAAATTTGGACCTGATGTCCGAGAAGGGAAGCGAAGGCAGTTCAATTATATTGGTATGTGCAAAAACTTTGTGCCGTGCCTAGAAATTAAATTAGGCTTCAACTTTCTTATGTAAATGAATCGAACTCCTATGCTGTTATGTTTGAGCAGTGCTTTTTTCTTTTTGAGTTTCAAATTGGCAACTGTTAGTCATGAACAAGTCAAGTCAAATGTTAGTAACAGAAAACTTGAATCTGTTTAAGCCAATCATTTCTTGCATCTATACGTTCTGTGATCTTATCTTTACCAAAGTGCATTCAATTTGTGTAAAGGAAAAATGCTGCGAGACGTGGAGCCGGAATTGATGGATGCTTTAATTCAGGCTACAAAAGACAGTGACGAAAGTAAGCTGCAAGCTTTATCTGGTCCAGAGACGTTGAGCATTGATGATAATGAGGAGGAAGAAGAAGCGGAAGAAACTGATTTTGAGGAGGAAGAAGATGTATGATACAGATACTAAGTTTGAAACTGTGCAACAAAGTTTGCTGAAGCTTCCTAAGTAGTTTACAGACATATTTAATCTTATTATTCGAGCATCGATTGCAGGGTTCTCACATTGATGTAGCTACCAGATGGTTTGACGGTCTGATCAATAAGGACGTTCAGATCACCAATGCAGTATATTCAATTTCGAATGTTGAGTTTGACCGCCAGGTAAGTTTAACGCCATGCTTGCTATTTTTAAGTTTGGTTAATTGACTTTCCACTAAAACCCCCTTCATGAGGGTACTAGCATGCACTTGGACCACCAGCTTATATTATTTGAAGCCCAGCCAGTTCATATTCACTTAAGTCAGTCGATTAAGTCTCGTACCAGTTGTTCTAGCGTATTAAGGGATCATTGTTTCTGTTTCTTGCTCTTTGTTTCTTATGTTAGCCTCACTTACAGGAATTGCGAAAACTTGTCCGTCGAGTGCATTCAGGTTTGGAAGACAAACTCAATTCAGAGGAGAATGGGGGAGCGAAAGATGCAGCGAGAGGGAGTGCTGAAAAGTCACTCACCAGGTTCCTTCGTTCCCTTGCTAAAAGTAGCCTAGTGATTGATATGTGATGTTTTAATTTCTATCATTTTTTGGGGTGCAATTACGTTATATTTATTGAAGAATGAAGTTTTTTGTTTTCTTGGCCGTACTTTGAGTTGTGCAATTTTTATTTTTAAATTTTCGCAGAATCATACCGCCTAGTCTTAACATTAACGTAGTTGTTTGGAAGTAGTCCAAGTTGGTTCATAAAATTGTTACACAGCAATGTATTCCTAGTTTGTAGTTAGCCACCACAGGCAAAGGAGTTGAAATTCATAGGTTATACGGGCATGGTGCAGACGGTGTTGCCCATTATCTTCCATTTAAGTTGTACAAAATCATTTTCTAGCTGTTGACCCAGAATTGGAATGAACTTGAGTAAGTTTGTATTGCCTTATCTCTTGATTCTGTTCTAGTGTCCTACCACTGCTCGTAAATATTTGTCGTTGTCCAGTATATTTTAACTGGATGAACAATGAACCCTACTTCAGGCTGGCTCTACTTGGTTGACTATTAAAAGTTGTCACGGTTCAATCTTACGGGTTGAATTCGTGCTGGGAGTTTTGCCTTCAAAACAATGGATTTGAGTTGAAATCATACGAAAGCAGGGGGTTTAAAAAAACAAAACTGTGTTTGTACATGTATTGAGTAGGCACGCAGGATCTTACTCGTACTGTAGACTCTAGTGAAGAGCCGGATGGGTTAAAATAAAAAAAATTAAGGGTCGTACTTGTGCACATCGTACAAGGCCAGACCCTGCCACAGGCTAACTTACGAGATTGGGCTTTTGTATGTGGGCTTCATATTGAAGACGTGGATGGAACCAAACCAACCCACCCAAGCAAAAAGCCTTTTGGTTGGATTATCTGTCAGAACATCTTCTTAATTAATTTCTGGTTCCCTTGGTGGGGCAGGCCAATTTTGGTCATCAAATAGTTGATGAGAAAGGGGAAGGGAGGGGAGGGGACAGAGAATAGGATAAAAACACCAGTGTGTGTGGCCACAAGGACACTAGAGAATGTAAGCTAAGGTCCAATTCTAGGACGTGAATGAGAAAGTAACGTGGAGGTTTGTCATGTCATGATATGATAGACAAGAACAAGGTTGGGTGTGCAAATAAGCAATCCCTCGTCCCTCTCCCTCCTGCGGCTGCCTTGCATCACAAACACAATAATGATAATAATGGTGTTTTGTGTAATCAACTTGGCTTGCTTTTTGCATCAGCTGAATTGATTTGGAGGGTGGGGGGCATCCACGTCAATGCCTTTCTGACAAGTTATTATCGAATTTCACTCACTTGATTAAAATCCTGCAAAGCAAATTTAAAGTGCGTTTTAATCAGCTGATGATGGAGTATGTTTTCCCAAGTTTTAGCAACTGACGGAAGCTCTTGGATAAATTATCTTTTCAAGTAAGAGGGCACTCACTCAGCGGTTTGAACATGTTGGGCGAATGTCTGTATATTGCTTTCGGTATACCACAAATTGCAATATATTTTCCGATGACTAAAGAGACCCTTGTGTATGATATTATTGTGTTTGACGGACGGACAGACAGTCACAATTTCTGATGCGCATACCAAGAAAAGTGGCAGTACGATACAAGATATTTTTTTTCTGATAAAAAAGGAAGAAGATATTTTTTAAATTCAGAAACAAAAAAAGTAAAAGAAGATATTTGTTTTTGGTCGGAAAAATTATCGTTAGGAAAGTTGCTGTTTAGTAGGGAAGGAGCTGTCGGATGTCAGCTGGATTAGCTACTTTCTGATGATAATCAATGAGGATTGCTTTATATTGTGAGGTGGTCCCTAATAATCCCGTCGACATGGGGCATGAACATGGACATGGACTCGGACACGGACTGCAAGCTCCATTCATCCATTCATTCATTCATTCCACAGAAAAGAATTAGGATCATTCATTCCAGAGAAAAGAATTAGGAATTAGCATAAACCCTTGGTTGTGGTTGCACTTAAGAATTCAGAATTTAGACATTAGAGACATTACAGAGGCATTAGAATTCTTGATTGTGAAGTGATTTTAGAGCCCACTGACTGACTCAATCTACACAGACTTGTTGTTCGTTGTTAATTGTTGGATTGGACCCCCGTGATGTGAGGGCAACAATACTGTGTAAGGGATAAGACAGAAGAAAACTACAGTCTGCAGTCTGCTATTAAGTAAATTTAGGTTTTAACAATAATAAAAACTTTCATTTTTGGAAAAAGTCAAAAAAATTACAAAAAAGACCAAAAAATCCCTTAACTTTCAACCTAAAAACATCCAAATGTAAAAGATTCTTTAAGAAATCCAAAATAAATAAGGGCATTTTTGTTCATTTTGGCTTCTTTTAAAAATATTTCTCTCTTCTTTGGCTTTTTTCAAAATGTCCCTAATATTTATTAATTTGAGAGGGAAATTAAGACTTGGAAAACAGAAGAGAGAGAAGAAAAACAGAATATTCCAATAATGCATGCTTTTGTTCATAACACGGAAAAATAATTTTAAAAAAATGAAGTAGGTAAAACGCTTGTAAGATAAGATTTCTTCAACTGAATCTGTGATGATTCACATTAACACCTTGATTTACTGTACCTCAATCAATTGCAAATTAAAAGAATAGAATTTAGGTCCCGTTTGGTTTATGGGAAAGGAGACTTGAGGATGGGAAATCAATTGCTTTCCCGTGTTGGATAAATCTTGGCATGGAAAATCATTGCCTTGCACATGGGAAAGTAGGAGGGAAGTGAAGCCCTCCTCCCCCCTTGGGTTTTGTTTTCCTCACCCCCATCTTCCGTCGGCCTCTTTGGTACCCCTTGGTATCGTTTACTTCTCCTTGGTGGTGGTGGATCTGCTGGTGGTGGTGTTGGCTTGCTTTGGGTGGCGGCTGCTCTTGTGTTCTAAATCTAGGGTTTTTTGTTTAAAGTTTTCTGGGCTTTGTTGCTTTTTTGGTTTTGTATCTTTGGGCCTGCTGTATTTGTTGGTTTTAGGCTGCATTTGGATTGAGTTTTTCTCATTTTGTAATGTTTCCCATTATTAATAAATAGAGTTTCCCTTGACAAAAAAAAAAAAAAAAAGAATAGAATTTGATTTGACAGACACCCAGCCGATCAAGTAAGAATAAGATTAGCCAGCAGCCCTCCCATCTTGCTTCTCAACTCTTTAATTGGCGTGCTGTGACAGATAGCTGACTTGTAAATGCAGAAACATGCTAAAGGTCGCTAGTCCGGTCTAAGGTGGTGGCTACGAACAGGCCGTTCTTGAAATTTTGAGGATCCTGTGTGAAATTTAAGTGGGAGCTTCACATAATCTAATACGAAAATATTATAAATTTACCATAACTTAATGTCATAAACAATTTTTTTATAACAAAAAGTCACCATCAATATATATGTAACGACAAATTTAATTGTTTTCATTTGATAAAGTTAAATGTTTGGTACAAAAATAAGCTCATTGTACCTCTATAAGGTCCTTTGTTGCCTCCAATAAGCAATCTGTGTTTAATATGAAAAAAAATTAGCAATCACAAATTAGAGAGTAGTTGCACACAAATGTCATTAACAAATTAGATTATATTGCATTAAAGACAAAAGTAACAACAAAAACATACCTGAATATCCATGAAGTTTTGTTTTGAACGAAGAAAGTACTTTTCTTGGAGGAGAAAACCTTTTTTTTTAGTTTTTTAAATAAAATTCTTAAGAACGATAGTTCAGGGATATATACTCCCCCTGTCTTGTGGTAAAGCTTTTTTTTAATATAAAAGTGCCAAAGTTCGATTATTGTTGAGGTCGATCTATTTGCCAACTACCCCAGACACACTCTTGTGCAATATTCGGCACGCTATACTGTATATACAATTCCTCTAATATTAATATATGTAATATAAAGAATATTTTTTTTCAGGAGCCCTGTGCAGTGGCGCCACCCTAGGGCCGCCCCTGGCTATGAATATATGCATTTATTTATTTAAAATACACAAACATAGTTCAGTTCCTCTCCCGGGGAGTGGTACTGTAGTCTGTATGTAGGAGATGTCAATGAAGTATCTGCAAATATATACTTGATCGTGATGGATATTTATTATTTAGTTGAATAAATCTGATAACATATTTTCCAACTCCAAGGGCTGCTAGGTAGATATTCATACTAGTCTTCTTTTTTCAAATGAATCGTTTTCTGGTACCACCATTCTTCCTTGGAGGAGGGAGTGGAACATCACGACCTACTTATTTGAAAATTATTGCTATATATAAGCAGCTGAACGATCATGTGGGTTTCTGAGAGACAGTCTTTGGGAAGTTGAAGCTAACCTTAACTGCATGCTTCTTTCTTTTTCTTGTAATTGGACGTTGGCCGCAGATTAGTCAACTTATAGATAGATCGAATTAGAGAAGAATTTGGTGAGACAATGTTGACCCTCCTATGCTATTAGCTATCCTATCCATGTGTGTTAAACACTATCAGAAGAAACGTGCCTCGCCAAAAAGGAAGGACTCACTCGGTATAAATTCTCCGGCTGCTCTTGACAAAGGTACATTTCCATCGCCATACGACACTTTTATTCATATAATAAGAAGATTTCATAAAATCTCTGGGAAAACAAACAAACATGTACGCGTGTTAAAAACAATTTAATTCTTTGTTTTGTAACCATCTTACTCTTATGTTGCTTGCTAATTTGGTTCGGGGATAATAGACTTTCGGATCTTCTTAGGGAGCTGATTTTCTCACTCCTCTTTTATTCACGTACAATTCCTTTGTTAGAAATTGTATGTTCCCAATCCTCTTTTGTCCACTTGCACTCCTTTTTTTGTTGTAATAAAAATTATTAAAAAACAAAAGGGAGTGTAAGTGGACCAAAAAAAAGTGGGAAAATTACCACCATCTTCTTATTGTTGAGCAATTTACAAATACCAAAGTATATTACGAATGATTTTATTTGGAAAATCATTGCTTATAGTTTCTAACTAACCTCTCAATTTGCATATTGTCACTGGAGGCATATTCTCTTATTCTTACGTAGGTCGGTGGTGAGGGTGACCCAAACCAAAATCTTAAAATTAAGAGGTGTAGGGATTTTGTGCTCTCTCTCATTTTAT